GAGTCCCTTCAAGCTACCACACTCAAACCTTCCCTAAGACTTAAGAAAACAATCCCATTTAAAATAGCAAAAACAAAGTAAAATAAAATACTTGAGTATAAATTTAAACAAGTAGGTTAAGATCCATACACTAAACACCAAAAAGCACTGATAAAAGAAATTGAAGAAATCATAAATAAATGGAAAGATTTCCTGTGCTCATGATTGGAGGAATACTGTTAAAATGTCATACTACCCAAAGCAATCTACAGATTCAATGTAATTCCTATCAAAATTCCAATGTCATTATTTACAGAAACAGAATAAACAACCCTAAAATTTGTATAGAACCATAAAAACTCCTGAACAGCCAAAGCAATCCTGAGCAAAAGGAACAATGCTGGAGGCATCACACTCCCTAATCTCAAAATATATTATAAAGCGATTGTAATTAAAACAGCATGGTGCTGGCATAAAAACAGACACACTGACCAATGGAACAGGACAGAAAAACCAGAAAGAAACCTATGCATTTATGGCCAATTGATTTTTGACAAAGATGCTAAGAACACAAAAGGGGTAAAAGTCTTTTTAATAAATAATGATGAGAAAACTGGCTACCGATATACAGAAGAATAAAACTGGATCCTTATCTCACAATGCATATAAAAATCAACTCAAAATGGATTAAAGACTTAAATATAAGACCTGAAACTATAAAACTACCAGAAGAAAGCATAAGGGGAAAGCTCCATGACCTTAGTCTGGGCAATAATTCTTTAGATGTGACTCTGCAAGTACAGCTATTAAAAGCAAAAATAGACAAATGGACTTGAATCAAACTAAAAAGCTTTTGCATAGCAAAGAATACAATTAAGAAAGTGCAGAGACAACCCACAGCATGGAGCAATATTTGTAATCCATATTTTGACAAGGTTTAATATCCAAAATATACAGGAGATATCAAAAAATGTATACATACTTTAAGTACAATGTTTGCTAAAAAGATGGTGTTAATCAAATGAATGCCAGCATCACCATGTGACAGGCAGGACAGTCAAAGAAAATGACAGAAGCACAGCTGAGTGAACATCACACTACACACTGCTACCATAATTTAATTCAACTTTGAAAAGTAATTCATAGATAACATCTCTAAAAATGTATATACATCTGTATAAGAAACTTACACAACTCAATAGCAAAAAACCCAAATAACTCAATAAAAAATGGGCAAAGGACCTGAACAGACATTTCTTAAAAAGGCATTTTTAAATGGCCAACAGATCTAAGAAAAAATGCACATCATCACTAATCATTAGGAAAACACAAATTAGAACCACAATGGGCTATTACACATCTGTCAGAATGGCTATTATTTAAGAAGAAAGATAACAAGTACTGGCGAGGATATGGAGAAAGAGAACCCTTGTATGCTGTTGGTGGGAATGTAAATTAGTGACTGTTCACTACGGGAAACAGTATGGGAGCTCCTCAAAAATGTATAAATAGAACTACCATATGATCCAACTATACTACTTCTGGGTATATAGCCAAAGGAGTTGAAATCAATATGCTGAAGATATCTACTCTCATGTTCACTGCAGCATTAGTCACAATAGCCAGCATATGGAATCAACCTGTGTCTTTTAATGAATGAACAGATAAAGAAAATGTAGCATATATACATAAAATGGTATATTACTCAGTCTTAAGGAAGTTCTGTCACTTGTGACAACACGGATGAACCTGGAGGACATTATGATAAATTATCTACACTTACCACAATATAAAGGAATCAGTCACAGAAAGACAAATGCCAAACAATCCGACTTACATGTGGAATCTAAAAAAGTCAAACTCATAAAGTAGAAAGTAGAATAGTAGTCACCAGAGACTAGAGGTGGGGGAAGTAGGGGCCAGAAGTCAGAAAAAAGGGAGGTGTTGGTCAAAGGTTAAAATGTTTCGGACAGGAGAAATAAGTTTTTCAGTTCTATTGCATAGCAGGATGACAATGTATTATATATTCTAACATTGCTAAAAAAGTAAATTTCAAATGCCTCACTACAAAATATGGTGAGATGATGGATATATTAGCTTGATTTAATCACTCCACACTGTATGCATATATCAGTACATCATTGAATCCTATATAATTAAGATAATATTAATTTGCCAATTAAGATAAAAAAGAAGCCAATGAGCTAAAGGAAGCTAAAATATGCTAGAGTAACATATCTTTAAAGGAATGCTGTAATGAATAATGACCCACTAATTAATCTGATCAGACTGCATATTAAAATTTTAATTTTTACTTATTTTTAGGAAAGGAATATTTATATTGAGTTTTCTTTCAAGACTTTAACAAAAATGTTATCTCTTCTATGAACAAAACCAGAGATGAAGAAAGGAAGGAAGGAACAATGACAAAAAAAGTTTAATCTCTGGAAATTAATAGCAATTACTAAATTTCTGATGTATAAACAGAATATGACTCACCATTGCCTCTGAAATTAAAAGAAAAATCTCTAAGATTCAAAGAAATGTATATAAGCATCTAAATACTAGGAAGTGGGAATATTGGTGCTTCTATTATACATGATACTGCTAAACACAATGATTTTTTTTTTTTTGAGTTGGAGTCTCACTCTGTCACCCAGACTGGAGTGCAGTGGCCGGTCCCGGCCACCGCAGCCTCGAACTGTTGGGCTCCGGAGATCCTTCCACCTCAGCCTTCCGAGTAGCCGGAATTACAGGTGTGAGCTACCACACCCGGCTGATTTTTTTTTTTTTTTAATTTATTGTAGAGATGAGGTCTCGCTGCCCAGGCAGGTCTCGAACCCGCAGGCTCAGGCAATCCACTCACCTCAGCCTCCCAAAGGCGTGTGATTACAGGCTGAGCCACTGAGCCTAGTAACAACCAGCACATTTTCATAACAACAAATGCAAGACCCTTTTTAGGCTACTTGTAAAAATATACTAATTTAAATAACTACTAGCACTTGTAAGAGTGTTCTTTGAAGCTATTATATAAGAATATTTACTAATTTACTGAAAACACTGATTCTCCTCACATTTTAATGGTGGGATACGGTATATTAAAATCTGAAAAAAACGATAATGGTACTTTTCAAAATCTTAATATTAAAGGCTGGATAAGGAAAAGAAAGATGGTCTGGAATATTTGTTTAGAACTTGTACGTGTACCTTTCAGTTCCAATACCTCTGCCCAAAAGTCTGAGAAAGGCATTAGTGCAGTGGCACACACACCGCCACCCCAGCATCAACCTGCTAGGCTCCAGCGATCCTTCCACCTCAGCCTTCCAAGTAGCCGGAACTATAGGCATGCACTACCACACCCAGCTAATTTTTTGATTTATTGTAGAGATGAGGTCTCATCAAGTTGCCCAGGCTGTTCTTGAACCGTGGGCTCAAGCAATCCCCTGACCTTGGCCTCCCAAAGAGATAAAGTTGGTGTCTTACTCTGCGACCCAGGATGGAGTGCAGTGGCATGATCACAGCTCACCACAGACTCAAACTCCTGGGCTCAAGTGATCTTCCCACATTAGCCTCCCGAGTAGCTAGGACTACAGGTATGCACCACCATGCATGGACTATTCTGGACATTTTTATAAATGGAATCATGCAATATGTGGTGTGGCCCTTTGTTATTGATTTATTTTACCATAAACATTTGACAGGAACAAAAGTATCACACCAAATTTACTCCACACAAGAGACACTTTTCTATGGAGACTTTACAAAAGCTTTCATAAGAAAGGATACTCTACCCAGCACTTTGGGAGGCCAAGGCGAGGATTGCTTGAGCCCAGTAGTTTGAGACCAGCCTGGACAACATAGTGAGACCTTATCTCTATTTTTAAATTAAAAAAAAAAGAAAGGATACTGTATTACTTTACTTTGAACAAGACTGGTATAAGTCAATGTTTAGAAATTCTGACTACAACCTAATCAATTATAATTCTACCAGAATACAAGAACTGTCTTTTGTTTTTCCCATTGTTAAATGAGTTTAAATGAAATTATTCTATGTACTATAAGTGGGGAGAAGGCAATAGTTCTATATGAATAGATTATTAAAATAATTTCAAATATGTTTATAAAACTAAATTAATAATTAAGTATTACATAAAATGTTCCTCCTTCATCTATTTCCCTAAAAGTTTATAATTCAAATTTGGGAAGAAAAGTTCATAATTCAGTATGAATCTGTTTCTTGGAAATAAAAGGAACACTTTTATATTCAGGATTGTTTTGTATTTAGAAACTACGAACTTGCAGGATCATTCAAAAATATGGTCAGATCTGATGATCTTCATGACTAAAATAATTGATTTCTCCTCTAGGATTTTAAAAAGTAGTTGAAAATCCGATCCAATTCTTAGCAAATGTCTCAAAAGAAAATTGAACTTTGTAAGGGAATATCATATAAAAAGTGAGTGAGGCAATCTTATTTCAGAAAAAACCCGTTAGGGAATGAAGGGATCTCAGGGGCTGCCACCAACTCCCTCATTTTACTGATGAAATGAAGAAAATGAGGCTTAAGTAGTTTAAAATCGTATGGCATGAGGGCTTACCATGCTAAGTGCTTTTCATGAATTACTTCTTAACCCCTCCTCCAACAACTATTCATGTCCCCAATGTACAGCTGAGATGTAGAAAAGTTAGACAACCTGCTCAAAGTTACTCAGCTAATATGTGACAGTCAATACTCCATTCAGCACTACCTAGTTTCAGAGCCAGAGAGCTTAATCACTTTGCTGTGCAAGTCTTCAGCTTTTCATCAGAGCCTGGAGTCATATGGCAATTAGCATTTAGCTTGATTTGGAATTTCTAAACTAACCTAATTGGAACTGAGGAAAACAGCATTAGAAATGAGCAAATACATTGAAAAAAAAGGAAAAAAGGGTGCAGGAGAGACAGCACGTCTAACATAACTTTGAAGTTTATAAAAACATCTAATAAAAAAAGGCATGTTATTCAAACAAATTCAGTTGTACCTGGTTAACTCTCTCAGTCGAGTCACCTCTGCATCACGCTGACGTAATGTTATCCCCAGTATCTGATTTTCCTTTTCAGCAGTTTCTAACTTAAACTGAGACGTTTTCACATTGACTAAGGCTTCCTCCAATTCTAAAAAAAAAAAAAAGTGATCACCTTGGACAGGAATTAGCTATGAGAATGAACAAGCTCAGTTCAATTAGCAAATCTCCATAATGCTTCTTTTTTTTTTCATTACTCTGTTCAGTTATCTTTATCACAAACCTTTTACATACAACTATTTCAAAGTGTTGACTTAATTAGAACCATCCCTTTGGTTCATAAATAAATGTGTTTTTGCTAGTAAAAAAAAACAACTTTCAGTTTCCTTATTCTTTTGAAATAATGTGACCATAACTACTGTCTAAATACATACCAATTTTTATTCTTGTTATCTCAATTTCAAATTGCTGTTTATTTTCAAGTATAGTTTGATCTTTCTCTTTAAATATATTAGTAAATCTTTTGTTTTCATCTTTCTGATTTTCAATCACTTTTAAGAGCTCTTCATTTTTACTCTGTAGTAGTTCCTGGCTCTTTATTGACTCCTGTAATTGATTTTGCAGAGACATGTTCAATGACTGAAGAGAAAACACTGTAAGACAAAACAGACCAAATGGTTGTGCCCCCAGTTTAAAAAGTACAAGCCTAGAAAAAAAAAAATCTGTTTCTTATAAAGGAAAGCCCTGAAATGCATTGATTTTGCTTAACAATTATATCCATAAGCAGCTCCATATAAATACGACATATATTTTTAAAAATTGATTTGCAAAAGTCATACATTTCTTCTACAATTCATATTTTGAGCATTAAACTTTTTTACCTTTTTAAATGAAAAAATAATGCATGTATAAAGTAAAAAAATATATAAACACCACAAAATACCAATGATACCAAATGATTCTCAATGAAGAATCTCCCTCCCACTCCACTTCTCTCCCCTCAGAGACAATCATTATTAATTTTAGTATCTTTCTGGAAAACACCTTTGCATATAGTAAAAAAAACTATATAAATATATATATAAAATATATAAATATATATACATACACACTATATTATACACATTCTTTTTTATGGTTATAAAAGTACACAGCACCATCTATTTAGCAAATACAATCTTGAGGGAATGCTTACTATGTGTGAGGCACTGTAATAGAATCTAAATATACAAAGGTGCTCTCATGGACATACTCATACACCTGCTCTCATGGAGAAGATTACAAACAAGTAAACAATAATGATACATGTTTTCAAAGAAAGAATAAGATAAATGGACAGAGAACAAAAAAAAGTTATTTAGAATGGCAACCACTGATCCCACTTGCCCTCTTCTCTCTCCCCCACCCCATCTTTTGTTCACAGTGGAACCCAGAGTGATGTTTTCTGAAATTACTCTGGTAAAATTGAATATTTTTATGAAGTGCTCATTCTGTTGGGTGCTCATATTCTTATTCTTGCTTTGTAAGAGATATTTATATATTAAGAAGATTAAACCTTTGTCATGTTACACATTACAAGAATGTTTCCCCATTTTGTTGATGCTTTTGAATGTATTTATTTTTGTTGTGTAGAAATTAAAAAATTTTCCTGGAGACAAATTCTATCAATCTGTTCCTCTGTAGCATATGAATTTTTGCCAGGCTTAAGAAAAGCTCCAAAAAAAGGATTTCATCTTTTCTTCTAGTACTATTACAGTTTTTTTCATTATTAAGCTCAGTGATCCATAAGAACAATTTGGTAATATCTGCCACAATTACAACTATATATACCCTTTGGCTCAGCAATTCTATTGCTATAAGTCTATCCTACAAAAATGTTAACATCTGGGCCAGGTGCAATAGCTCATGCCTGTAATCCCAGCACTTTGGGAGGCTGAGGCAGGAGGATTGCTTGAGCCCAGAAGTTCAAGACCAGCCTACGCAACATAGTATGACCTTGTCTCCACATACACACAAGAAAAAAATCAGCTAGGAATGGTGGTACATGGCTATAGTCCCAGTCAATCGAGAGGCTGAGGCAGATGAATCACTTGAGACCAGAACCTCAAGGTTGCAGTGAGCCATGATTGTGTCACTACACTCCAGCCTCAGTGACAGAGTTGAGACCCGCCCATTCAAAAATAAATAAATAAATATTAACATATGTGGACAAAGACATGTACCAAGATTTTCACAGACGTGCTTGCAATGAGAAAAAAGGGGACAGTTCCTAGGCAGCCAGTGGACATTAAATATGTTATGGTAGAGATGCATAGGCAAAATATCCAAAGTAGTACTTAGAGAGAAAGAAGCATATTTATGTATTTTGATAGAAAAAATGTCCATATATGCTAAGTAAATAAATGGAAGTTGCAGAAGAATATACCCAGTGTGATCTCATTTTTAAGAAAGAAAAAGTACATATATAGTACTATTTGTGCTGGCACATAGTAAGTATTTGGTAAGTATTTGAAATAAATAAATTCAAATAAATCAATTATATATGAACAGAAGATACATAAAAGGAAAAACCCTTTTTAAAAAATAGAAGTACATTGCTGGGAAGTGATAACATGGATCTTTTATTTCTTGTATTTCTGTACAATGTCTACACGCATAGCACGGTGCACTGTGTCCATGTTGATCACCTCTGTATATTCAGATTCTAATACAGTGCCTCATACGCAGTAAACATTCACTCAAAGCTGTATTTGGGAAAAAAAAAAAAGTGCCATATACCTTTATAGCCATGAAAAAGAATGTGATAGTTCTATGTGCTGACACAAAAAAGTCTTATAGAAAAACTAAGGCAAAGTTAGGTTCTGCACAATTTTTTGTTTGTCTACTTAGACAAAGTAGTTAAGAAAGCTGTTATTTATCAACATTTTCAGAGTCACAAAAAATTTAACATCAATCCTTAAAGTTCTTTTACCTACATTCAAGACTGCAATCCACAGTACCAGATGTCTTCTGAGTTTTTTCTTGTTCTCTAAGTTGCTGATTCAAAATTCTCAACTGTCTAAAGTAAACAATGAAGAATTATAAATGCAAGAATCCCAAGCCCATTTAGCAGTATACGTGTGATAGCCTATCAAAAAAAGATAAAACACAAATAATAGCACCCGCTACCCACTAGGACCTCAGAAGTTCACCTCATTCCCAAAAGACAAAAACAAAATAAGCAAAATCATATTACTATTTTTAAGGAGCCTGAGAGAATATTTTTTTAATTGGGGAGGTCTCACTCTGTCATCCAGGCTAGAGAACTGTGGCATGATCATAGCTCACCACCTCAGCCTCAACCTCCTGGGTTCAGGCAATTCTTCTACCTCAGTCTCCTGAAAAGCTAGGACTACAGGTAATGTGCCACCACGTCTGGCTAATTTTTTGATTTTTTTGTAGAGATGAGGTCTCACTACGTTGCCTAGGCTGGTCTCGAACTTCTCTCAAGCAATCCTTCCACCTTGGCCTCCCAAAGTGCTGAGATTACAGGCATAAGCTGTTGTGCCCAGTCCTGAGATAATTTTTAAAAGATTGCCTGGTAAAGCATAAGCCACCCATCTCCCCATCTCTTTCTTTTGTTCTCTTATTTTTTTCAGTGATTTCGTTAGATTTTTTTCCCTATTTCTTTCCTTTCCTATCGCCTCTTGCTATTTTCTTCTGTCTTCTTTCTGTGTATCTTCATTATGGCAATCATCTACTTTTTTTAAAGATCTGTTATCACTATAAACTAGAATACTGCTACAGGCACTGACTGCTATCAGACATCTATCTGCTTGATGTTTTGTCTCATGCTGAAAAAATTGGGAAAGACAAATTTATGCTTCTAATAATTTCTTTACTAGATGGAAAAGTTAACAGTCTTAAGTAATAAGAATGTTAATACAATGCATGTTTATCCTACAATGAACCTCATAATATGCAGTTGCTTTACCAAGAGAAACATACAAAAGTGTTTTCTTTACTTTAAGAAGTTATTGCTTAGAAAAAAAATTATCCCCATTATCTTTCCAGAACTATTTACCTGAAAATATTTCCCCTGAATATAATTATTTTTTCACAAACCTAAAATAATAGCACCCTACTTCATATCACTCACATGTACTAACTCTAGATTGATTAAAGTACTAAGCATAAAATATACAAACAAAACCCAACTATACAAGTTTTAGGAGGAAATCTACATAATCTTGAAGTAGATAAGGCACTCCTAAGTGAAACTCAAAATGCAGCAACCACTGAGAGAAAGAATGAAAGATTAAACTATGTCAAAATTGGATACTTGTTCTAGAATTAACAGTTTGAAAGAAAATACCAGTCACATATATAACACACAAGAGGTCCATAACATTTAAAGAAGTGCTACAAATCATTAAGGCAACCCAGTAAAAAGTGACAAAGGATACAAATAAGCAGTTCACATGGAAAAGAGAAATGGTCTATAAGCATATAATAAAGATGCTCAGCTTCACTAACATGAAGAACTGCAAATTTAAAAGAAGGAGATATGTTTTGGCCACAGAATTGACAAAAATAAAAAGAAATAGCACATGGTGATATGATAAGGAAATAAATGATCTCAATTGGTGGCAGATAATTTATTTCTACTGGTATATCCAATTTGGATGGCAATCTGCAATCTGAAATGTCCAGCAAGATGTAAAATATTCATAATCTTTTTTTTTTTTTTTGAGTTGGAGTCTCACTCTGTCGCCCAAGCTGGAGTGCAGTGGCACGCTCACAGCCAACCCAGTGCTGACATGCTGGGCTCTGACGATCCTTCCACCTCAGCCTTCCAAGTAGTCAGAACTAAAGGGGTAAGTTACCACACCTGACTAATTGATTCTATACATAGTTCTATCTATACATACAGCTAAGACAATGTGAAAATTATGATTATAGAATAGAATGTACTAGTAGTTTTGACAATATGAATTCCAGACTTCACCTTTTTTATATCTTATTATCTTAATTCCAGGCTATTTAGGAATAATATTTTGTAAAATAAATATTTGCCGAAAATTTATCAGTTCTGGCTTCATTTGTGTGGGCCTACAGTCCCAGCTATTTGGGAGGCTGAAGTGGGAGGATTACTTAAGCCCAGGAGTTAGAGGCTACAATGAGCTATGATTGTGCTACTGAACTCCAGCCTGGGCAACAGAGCTAGCCCCAATCTCAAAAAAAAAAAAAAAAAGAGAGCATATTAAAACCATGATGAGATATCACTGCATGCCCATTAAAACAATTAAAATTCCAAAGACCATACTAAGTGTTAGAGTGTGGTGGAACGAGAAGTTTTACAGTCTGCTGATGGGAATGTAAAATGGTTTGAACACTAAGATTTTCTTCTATGTTTTCCTTGAAAAGTTTTATAGCTTTAGCTTATATATTAAGGTCTATGTATGACACATTTCAAGTTAATTTTTGTGTATGGTATGAGGTAAAAGGTGAGGTTCATTTTAAAAAATATGGCTATCCAATTGTTTCAGCACTACTAATTAAAAAGATTATTCTTTCCTCCATTGAATTTGAGAACTTTGTCAAAAACTAATTATCCATATATGTGAGGTTTTTTCCTAGACTTCTATTGTTTCAATGCTCTCCCTACTTTTATGCCAATGTCATGCCATCTTGAATACTATAACTGTATGTCTTGAAATCAGATAGTAGTAACTTACTTCTTCTTTCTCTACTTTGTCCTGGCTACTTTAGAGTCTTTGAATTTCAATGTAAATTTTAGAATCAACATCCTACAAAAAAGCTTGCTTGGTTCTATAAAAATTATAGATCAATTTGGGGAGAAGTGACATCTTTTACAAAGATGTAATATATCTTACATCTATGGATCTGGTTTATCTCTCACTTATATAGGTCTTTAATTTCTCTCAGCAATATTTTATAGTTTTCAGTGTGTAAGTCTTAAATATTTTTTGTCAAATTTATCCTTAAATTGTTCATATTTTTATACTACTTAAATAATACTAATTTTATATTTCCTTTTCACATTGATCATTGCTAGTACACAGAAATACAATGACCTGTTCTGATCTCATATCATGTAACCTTGCTAAGCTCTCTTATTAATTCTAATAGCTTTTTTGGTAGATTCTGTAGGATTTTCTACAAAGATTGTCATGTCATCTGTGAATAAGACAGTTTTACTTCTTTCCTTTCCAATGTGGCTGGCTTTTATTTTTCTTGCTTTACTGCATTGGCTAGAACCTCTAGCACAAATGTTAAATAGAAATAATAATCACTATTTTCTGGACATCATTAATGTATTTTCTAGCATATATAGATAAAAAATAAGTGACTAAGCAGAATTTGTAAATAATGGGTTGATATGACAAATACTATTTTAAAATATTGTGTACTGAATTTATGATTATAAGATTTTAACTCAAGGAAAATAACAAATGAAGCCAGAACTGATAAATTTTCGGCAAATATTTATTTTACAAAATATTATTCCTAAATAGCCTGGAATTAAGATAATAAGATATAAAAAAGGTGAAGTCTGGAATTCATATTGTCAAAACTACTAGTACATTCTATTCTATAATCATAATTTTCACATTGTCTTAGCTGTATGTATAGATAGAACTATGTATAGAATCAACTTTCACATCTAGTCTGCTGTTTTATTTGAATTCATCTTTTGGCTGACTGGACTTTGCCATTTAAGCTTTTTGTTTTGTTTTTAAAGGAATTCAAGGGTGCTGTATTTCCTTGCAGACTTGAGAATGTGACTGTTGTCCTTACACTATAAGGATAGTTAGACCACATTAGAGATTCTTAGGGCATACTTTCTCCACCTTAGGACTTTGCAAATTATATTCTACAATCTTCTAGCAATGAAAATAACTGTGAAGAGGCTGAAAAATCCAAAATTTTTCTCACTATATACAATTTTCTATTTCTTTTGAGGGTCTCTAAAAAGTAATTTTTTTTTTTATCCTTAAGGTGTAGTAACTTTACCAGCATAAGTCTTGGTGTTGATTGTTTTGCATCGTTTTGCTGGGATCTTATATGTCCTATTCATCTGCTGACACAGATCTTTAGAAAATGTTCCTTTTATTTATATATCTTTTAATATTGTCTTTATTCTAGATGCTCTGTCCTTGTTTCCAGGAACACCAATTGTGTTTCTTTTCCATGTGTATCATCTTCTTTATAATAATTTTTAGATCATTCTTTTTCTATCTTGCTTTGTGTGATTTCCTCAAGCTTATTCACCATGCATTTAGTCAGGCTAACAAATATTTGTTAGAGTCAGTGTAAGGCACAATTCCTTGCACTGGAAATGGAGCAGCAAACTAAAGAGTAAAAAATTCAGAGACAGCAACAAAGAACAGAGCTTACCCAGAGTTAAGAAAAGGGAGAAGGGGAGTTACTGTTTAACAGACAGAGTTTATGATGGGGATGAAAAAACTTGGGGCATAGATGGTAAAGATAGGTACACAGCATTATGAATGTATTTATTGCCATCAAAATGTATACTTACAAATGGTTAAAAAGATAAATATTATATGAAATGTTACATATATTTTACCACAGTAAAAACAAACAAATATTTTTAAAAAGAGGAGTTTAGGAAGAGCAACAAGCTAAGGTTGGTAAGACACTGAGCTATAAATTTAGCAGCAATTAAAATGAAAAAATTTGGGAAAAAAAACAAAAACAAAACACCTCCAAAACCCAAAAAACTTAGTCTTCATATTACTTAAATTCTAGTGGACTATAATATCCCTGACTTCATGTTTGCTTGCTATTAATAATTTTTCTTTCCTTCTTTTTTTTTTTTTGAGTTGGAGTCTCACTCTGTCGCCTAGGTTGGAGTATAGTGGCATGCTCACAGCCACCACAGCCTTCACCTGCTGGGCTCAGGTGATCTTTCCCTCTCAGCATTCCAAGTAGCTAGAACTACAGGCACATGTCACTATGCCCGGCTAATTTTTTCTTTTTTTTTTTTTTACTTGTTATAGAGATAAGGTCTTATATTATTTTTCATTTGTTTCTAATGGGACTTTCATATTTATAATTTTTATTTTTAATTTTTCTCAGTTCACCTAACTCAATTCTCTTTTTACTGTTTTTCCTCTTTGAGCACTTTCAAACTCTCTCCCTCTAAGAGAGATCCTGTTATCGTTAATGTCCCTAAGACCATAGAACACCATTTCAAGTTTTCTTGGATTTTCTTTGGACAGTTTGTCTTGTGATGTTTATTGTTGACCTACCTTTGACCCTGTTGTCAGTTTATTTTTAATGTTAGGCAAAAATATCTCCTTCTAGAAATTTTTTTCTTCTCATGACTTTTGTGACGTCATTCTCCTAGTTTTCTCTTCTTCTGTTCTTTCCTTAAAATGCTGTTATTCCTCAGTAATTCCTTTGCTGTGTTCACACTGTATACCTTCTTGATGAATATACCATTTATATGCTGATAACATATCACCTGCTTTTAATTACCACTGTTTCCAGTACCAACAAGAAAGCCAGATCTAGAGTAAAAGCTCAATAAAAACATGTTCAGTGAATAACTCCCAAGTCTACATTTCTATCTTGCATTATGTTCCTGTGCTCCAGACTTATATGTATCTCCAGATGACATAAAATACTACATTCTGCAGGTCTAAATCTTAACTGACAGGCTCTCCCATTATCTTCCTTAATTCAAAAAATAAAATGAAATAGGTTTTTAAAAATCCATTCTTCCTCTAATAACTCCCATCTGAAAGAATTATGTTAACATCTATTAAATTATAAACCAGAATGCCATCCTTGACTCCTCCCATCCACTCCCATTTCATGTTTTTGTTCTGTGTAGGTAAATAATGGTCTCATATTTGAGCCTAAAATCAGGAGGTGGTCATGAATTCTAACTTACCCTATAAATATTAAAGCACTCTTTAGTTCCATGACTCTTAAATGGAGGCAATACCACCCCCTACAACCCTCACCTGGACAACCATGTCAGAAGATGTATGGAAACCATCCAGTCTCATTGCTAAAATTGCCACGATGCCATTAATACAATGTACCTAGCTATATTTTTTAAGCCACAAGATGGCAATAAACTACAAGAAAATCCGGAAAGAACACTTTTCTAGCTAAAAAAAAAAGTATGTCATTTCCCAATGTCTAAACAGGAAAAAAATTTTTTTGATTGAAAATGACAAAAAATGAATGAACCTATGCATCCCAATTTTTATTTGTAATGAAGATTATGGATAATTTCTTCCAAATAAAGATTACCAAATGGCACAAAAATTCCTTAATCCTAAAAAAGAACATATTTAACAAATTCTTCATTTTTTAATAATTTAATATTTTGAAAGATCAAGTAAGCAGCAGTGGCAACAGCATACTATATAATCTTTGCCCTCCAAAGACAGCCAAATATCTCTGGTGCCAAGACTGAAGAATTAGGTTGGTTATCAAACTAATACCATTTTTAAAAATTAAAAACAAGCAGCAGCACATTTAATAGTAAGCCACTTTTTCTTGAGTGGCTTATATATGAGCTCCTAAAGCAATTTAAAAATGTTCTTAGAAACAGAAATACATAAGAACCATTGATATTTCCCATGGTTACAATGTTAAAATAGATAATATTCTGAGACAAGGTTTGGCATGCTTATTTAAGAAACCAATTATTTGTTATTTCTTTAAATAATTTGCTTATTTCAATTTAAATTTTGATTTACAATATACTCTTCTGTTCCACAAAATACACCTAAATAGTGAAGTATAATTTAGTCTCTACTTCCTAGCAGAGACATTGTAGAAGTTTACATGTTAAGATCATTGTGCTCCAAAATCAAATTGCCCAGGTTTGAGTCTTGACTCCATACCTTCTTAGATATGTAAACTTGGGAAAATTACATAAACACTCTATGTTTTGGTTTCCTCATCTATAAATGAGAATAACCTAACACTTCAGAGCTGTTGTGAAGATTTAAACAGATGACACATACGAGGAGGGACCCTAAAATATCGGAATTTACTTATAAAAACTGTGTATTTATTCCTAAATGTTTAAACTTTAGTAATCTTCAAAGTACTCTCCATTTGACGCAATACACCTATCAAGATGCTTTTTCCATTGCTCAAGTTTCTGAACTCGTCAATTTTAGTGCTTCTGCTGTTTTTTTGTTTCACCTCTTTCTTACTGGCAATATGTCTCCCTTTGAGGAATTTTTTTCATCCGGGGAAACAAAAAATAAAGTCACTCAGGGTGAGAATGGAGGAATAGAGAAGGATATGGGGTTCACGCTGTTTTTGTCAAAAACTGCTGAACACTCAATGTGGTGTGGACAGGTTGTTCATGTAAATCACCCATCATGAAATGGGCAAATGCACTGAAAGACTCTCCCCCTCAAAATTCATTGAAGCCGAGTGCAGCCTCTCACAACACTAGGTGGTACACTGATGCCAGTTCTGTTGTTTCTGGGGTCTCCCTTTATATAAAGGACAAAAGTCTGACACATAACAAACTTTCAGTAAATGTTAGTTTTATCTGTTGTCCATTACTATTATTATTTCTTATTTTGAAAAATTAATACTGTTACAGGGATCCCTTGGGTCAGGTCTGAAGACAATAGTATTAGAATTTAAACCTAGCAATTCCATCTTATATCATAGCATTCTCCAGGCTAATGATCTCTAGAGAAATAATCCTAAGCAAGTCAATCTCACTAGGTATCGTACCTTTGCAGGTTCCAGATCTGTAAATTTAAGCTGCTCACCAATTAGGAATCCTACTTAACTGCTTTCCAGTTTCTTAAAAAATTTGCACAAGTCCTTACAGGTCCTATCTTGTACAATGTCTATAATTCATGCAACTGTAACATTCCCTCAGGACATATTTACACTGCAGTGCTGCAGAAGCACTTGAAAATGCACTCCACTTCTCTGCAAAGTACTTTAATAAACAGACACCGGAGTGTTGGTATTGGCTGGTCATCACTGAAATATTCAAAGTTAAGATAATGTGTAGGTGACTTCTTCTGTATTTCAAGAGTAGATCTTTGGTTTATATCTTTCCTAAACAGATTAAGAATATAATTCCAACAAGACCAAAATAAAAAATATCTAAGATATTTAAATGAGTTTTTTCTGTCTAACTGTGGCAGGGCTACGCTAGTATTCACACATACCAGGTTCTCCTTTCCTTCATGAGCATATGGGAAAATCACACGTCTGTGACTATGTATATACATACACACACTTATATACACACACACACATATACATATTTTTGACCATGGTTTTCGACTTATAACTCCCATAGCCCTTGTTATTTCCTAAGTGGCTAAAATGATAAGCATATCTTTTGTTAGAGTATTTGGCCTTTTATTCTTGGTTCTGAAGCAGCTTCGGACCAGCTTCAGAATGATAAAGGTGAAAGACAGTCTTTTGTTAAACAGAATCTCTCTCTGACTTTCTCCTGCCCTCCTTCCACCTACTCCTTTCTCCTCTCAAGGCAGTCCATAGAAACTAAAAATATACTCTAATCTTTCCCTGTCTTTCTGTCTTAGAACTGACCATAAGAAAATTCTCTGACCTGCTTTATCTGATTATAGTCATAAGACCCCCATATCAGAAGGGGTCCTACCCCATACTCAAGAAGAAGGAATGCTGCACAGAGAGGCCAAGCATCTGGAGAGGCCTTACTTACTGGGTTTCCCCACTCAGTCTATTAGTATGAGACCGTACTCTTTTTGTCCAGTCACATTTCTACACAGTTGTCCACCTTTCAATCATGCCTATACAATGAAGTCTCTATAAAAGGAGAAGGCAGGGTTCAAAGAGCTTCCAGAAAGCTAGAACACATGAAGTTCCTAGAAGACAGTGCACCTGGGGACAGTGCAGAAGCTCCATACCCCTTCTCCTATATGTATCTCTTCATCTGTATTCTTTGTAATACCCTTTGTAAGAAAGTGATTAAGTATAAGTGATCCCTGAGTTCTGTGAGCTACTCTAGCAAATTAATTGAACCCAAGATAGGGGTTAGGGTAACCCTGATTTATAGTCAGTCAGTCAGATGCATAAGTAAAATAACCTAGGGCTTGTGATCAGCATCAAAAGCAGGGCTCAGTCATGTGGAACTGAATCTTCAACCTTTGAGGTCTGATGTTGCCTCTTGATAGACAGTGTTGGAGGACACCTAGCTGGTATCTGCTGCAGAACTGATGACTTGCTTGCTGGTAAGAAGAAATCCCCACACATTTGGTCATATAAGTGTTTTGTGTTGATTATTGTGGTGAGAGAGCAGAGGAAAAACAGTTTGTTTTCCAATACAACAACCCAGACTTTTCTACTAGGCAGGGCAATGTCCTTATTTTAGCTTATAAAATTTAAGCAGAGGTAGTGAGACAGTCACTTCTGGGCCAGGGCATGTATGACTGCCTCATAGTCATATTCACATTCTTTTTCTTGGAAAATATACACTGAAGCAGTGGCTTCATAAAACAAGAGTCTAAATCCTGAGTCACAGAATAAAAGAGAGCCTCCAATGGCTCAAATTGATCTTGGCGTGATGGTAAAATAAACTTGCATACTATGCCACTGAAATTTAGAAGTTTGTTACTGTAGCATAACCTAGACTAGCCCAATAAATACATGGAGGCACTTCATTTTCCTGCCTATGTACTACCAATTAGGCCACAACAGAGGTAAAATACATAACTAGCAGAGAGAAGTAACAGAAGTTAGAGAACTTAGAAATATAGTAAGACAGCAAATCAGCTTTCCTTATGACATCCTAGAGATCTCATCTGGCACCTTTGTTCTAGCCATGAAACATCTTTGCAAACAGACAAAATATTCAAAGAGTGTTCTTACCTTCGTAACTGAGCATTTTCACTTCTTAATGGTTGCACAGCCAGTGCTATTTCAACTTGAAGATTTGTGTTTCCACTTACTGCTGGAAGCACAGATATACATGCCTCCACTTCTGTAGCCAACCTCTGAATTTCTGAATCCTCTATTAAAGGCAGAAGAAATGAATAAAATCAATATTTTAAGTTATTTTTGGACAAGATTATTAGTACATATTACTAAAAAATACAATTTTATAGATATAAACATACTTGCTATAAATAAACTTAATTCAATTATTTATAAATTTATTATACAAATCCCATTTTTCACTTTTCTGCAGCTGGTATTTTCTTTCTCAGAAGTCTAAAGAAATTAAGTTCAGTAAACTACAGATTAATCTTACATCATAGAATTATTATATTAGTGATTTTTTTCAGCTAAAAAGTCAAGAAGGAATGTGGTTTATACATATCTCTTAGTTCATACTTACCAAAGGACTACAGTCCCATGATTACTATAGGCTTTCCTATAACTGGTCACAGTATTAATATTTATAATACAACCTTTGATCCTGACATAAGCAATTTACTTTTAGGTGATTAGTTTGGCAAAATATTGAGTAAAGGTCTGCTAAGATAAGGTTTCATTATTTAATTTTCTAAAGTAGATTTAATACAACCAGTCACACTTCACTTGATGTGACAACAGAAGGTTGTTATTAATTGTGGAGAGTTATGTTTTTTGGAGGTGGCAAACAGACACAGGTATAGAAGTAGGTAATAGTTCTTGGTCCCTTTATTCCCATTCAAATTTTCTGTGGGCTGAAAAGTCTTAAAATTATATATTAACTTTCTGCTATCCTAAAGAGGTTGAAAGTATATTCTAAATTACAAAAGTGTATTTGATTTGACAGGTATTTTAACATACTGATGAAAAGCACATGCACATAGTAAACAACTGTGCCCAACTACCAAACAGTCTTCTACCAATCTTTTGTAGACTGGTTTCATTCATGAGCTTTGAAGGCAGAGACTTGGGGGCTCTCCCACTTTCCAGAGATATAACCTTGGTCAAATTACTTTTTTTTTTAACAAATTAATATGTTATAAAAGTTATTTAAATTGACAAACAGAAATTATATAATACTTATCATGTAATATGTATACATTTTGGAATGGTTAAATTTAGCTAATTAACATATGTCACCTCACATATTTATCATCTTTTTGTGGTGAAAACACTTAAAATCTACCGTCAGGAATTTTAAAGAATGCAATACATTATTATTAACTACAGTCACCATGTTGTACAACAGACCTCTTGAACTTATTCCTCCTAACTGAAAGTTTATCCTCTGACCAACATCTAAATTTCTTGACTCTTGAAGCCCAGAGTTAAAGTTCTTAAAACTCTTGAAGTTTCCTCATGGTTAAATGGAGATTAAAAACAGTATCTCACAGGGTTGTTGAGAAGATTAAATGAGATACTGCTCACCAAGCCTCAGTTTCCTCATCTGTAAAATGGAAGCAGTAATAGTACCACATAGGGTTGCTGTGAGGATTAAATGAGATAATGCATATAAAACACTTAGCACAGTGCTAGGCACATGATAAGTGTTCAATAAATGATAGTTAATGGTATTATTATTGTTATCATGATTAACTATTTGATTATGAGAACAGCAACAAGCTGAAGGTCTGAAAACACAGCAATTTTAACACACTAAACCTTTGGCTTAATGGTGCTACATTCATGTGGCATTTTAAGATTTTTTTTTTGTCAGTCTACAAATATTAGGTACTCAATCAGTGCTTCCACAATCACTGTGTTTTCCAAGATGACATATCTGTAACTCATTCCAAGTAAAAGCAATTTACTTTAAGATATATGTAAAGAATAAAAACAAATGAATACAACTTGCTTCAAAGACATTTTTCTTGCTTTAAGAAAAAAATCCTAAAAATAAACTGAAAGGGCATAAAAAGGTTTGAGTTACTTCTCAAAGTGAGAAGTATAACTGTTAAACAATATAACAGCTGGCTACTAAAGAAATGGTGAAAAGGAAGTCTATATCTTTTTAAAATAGGAAAAATAATCAGCCTATTCCAAGGAGTTAATCATTTTTAGGGTCCTTTATTAACTATTTTATCTCTATGAATTCTTTTTAATTGAATCTTTTCAAGGTCCATTATCAAGGACAATGAATACACACTTGCAAGCAACACTGAGTATTTAATATTCCTTAACACATTTCAAATCCACAGGAAAGGGATCAAAATCTAAAAAATAAGAATACAACAGGCAGAACTCATTATCTTATTAGCTTAAGATAGTTCTATGGAAAATACCACAAACTCCAAGTCAGTTATTCTAAATTTAAGTGATGGCTAAATAATATGACACTACTATTTAGTATAACACCATGCTACAGAAAATTATAAGAAAGTATTCATCATCTACCTTGTTCTGCTACCAAGGCCTTGAGCTCTCCCAACAAATACTTTATAGTTCTAACTTTTTCAGCCGTCTGGTTCACATTTTTTTCCTTTTGTACATCCTTGACTATTTTTGCATCTTGCACATGTACATTTAAACCCTTTCCTTCACTTGTGTCCTCTCTAATTTGTTCTCTGGTACATTTTTCTTCATTAGTGGCCAAGGAAGCTGGCTGTGATTGAGTGGAGCTTCGGTGTGTTGGATTCTCCAGATGAGTTTCTTTTCCATGAGATCGAAACAAAGACATGTATGTTTGAAAACACTTCAGTAGGTCTACTTCGTTAGGAACTTCTTGTTGTGGCAGAAGCCCATTAGTAAGGTCCAGCTGCTGAAACGTTGGAATAGCTGACATGTCATTCTGGGGCAGGTTACACAGAACTCCAGGACTGGTATGTGAATTCCTCAAAACATCATTACAGTTCACAGAAATTGTTTTACCTTGTGATGAAAATTGGTTGTCACCATCGGTTTGAACTTCCTAAAGAAAGAAAAAACAAATTAAGCCTTCAGAAATATAAGCACTCACTTGTAGGTATTAATTATAACAAACTCAAATCAGAAATGTTAGAAGTATTAGAAACTGAGTTTCTAATGTCTCCAGCTTAAAAACAAATAAGCTGGGTTTCTCCGAAGCAAAACAAAAATTCTAGTTTGGTTTTTTTTCTTTTTTTTTGAGTTGGAGTCTCACTCTGTCACCCAGGCTGGAATGCAGTGGCACACTCACAGCCACCCTAGCGTCAACCTGCTGGGATCCAGTGATCCTTCCGCTTCAGCCTTCCAAGTAGTTGTAACTACAGGCATGCAATACCACGCCCAGCTAATTTTTGATTTATTGTAGAGAAGAGGTCTCACCAAGTTGCCCAGGCTGGTCTCGAACACACAGGCTCAGCCAATTCACTCACCTCAGCCTCCCAAAGAGGTGGAATTACAGTCTGAGCCATCGAGTCCAGCCAATTCTTAATTTCTTAAAGCTTAATTAGTTTACTCTGCAGTATGGAAACATTATAAGGCCATGACTAAAAGACTTTACAAATGTCACCCATGGTTTAAAGGCATCAAAAATTAGACCACCTTGGGACTATTAACAAACATTTCCACTTTGGGAAAAAACGCTTGTGCACAAACATACTTACAGAAATTTTACAGTAGTAAAAAACTGTCACTTAAATGTGTAATCATAGTGTATCCACAAAATACAGTACTAACTACTTATTAAAAATTCATAAAAGGTATACATTAATAAGCATGTTTATAATAAAATGTCAAGTGAAAAAAGCAGTATATAAAACTGTATAAAATTCAAGTCAAGTGTGGTGGCACACGCCTATAATCCCAGCATTCTGAGAGGCCAATGCAGGAGGATTACTTGAGCCCAGGAGTTCAAGACCAGTCTGGGCAACATAGCAAGATCTCGTCTCTACCAAAAAAAAAAAAAAAATTAGCCAGGTATGGTGGTGTGTACCTGTAGTTCCAGCTACACAGGTAGCTGAGGCAAAAGAATCACCTGAGCCCAGGAGGTCAAGGCTGTGGTGAGCTGTGATTGTGGCCAACTGCATTCCAGCTTGAGCAACAGAGTAAGACACCTTTTCACATAATAACAATTTTTTAAAAACTACATAAAATTCAACTGTAATTTTAAAGAGAAAGCAAACAATTTTTAAAAAACCAGAAACCAAAACCTATATAGAGAATTAAATGATTGGAAAGCACTCTACCAGTGTTTGAACAGCAGTTATATGTGGGTGGTGGGTATAGTTGATTTTTTTTCCTACTGATCAATTTCCTTTTTTTTCTTCATTATTGTTATTAATAAAAAGGTAAAACTCTTCTAATAAAAAATAACTTGAAAAAATAATTGGTCTTTACATCCTAGTGCACTAAGAAACGATCAATAAATTCAATATTCCCTGCAGAAGATAACTTCTAAGCAAATAATTACTGGTAAGGTATACAAACTGTACCCACAGAATGAACTAATGGAGGGCAGGGTAGTTGCTGAGGTGACCAGACGGGGGTGGAAGTATATAACCCATAACCAGAATGACCAGAATGTGGAGCGGCCTGAGATTCTAAAAGGTAAGAAGGAGAAAAAATTATTCATATCGCATACTGCTTATACAATAACCAAGCAATTTAATTAGAGCTTATATTCATGCTTTTTAAAACATTATTCATACTAACCAGAACCAGACACAGAATGGCATGGTGCAGCAGGAATTCCATTAGGGTTGTTCTTTGAAGTCAACTTATTCATCAATGACATTTGAGTCTGCACATGCTCACAGAGGGCTTGGTATATTATGGGTGAATACATTCTATAGTGATCTTGCAATGACCAATTTTGGGCTGTGTCTGATGTGTCTCTTTCACTTCTAGCAGAAGCTTCATTAGGTATCTGTTTCCTATTATCTGAAGATGCTAATGTAGAAGAAAAAAAGTTCTTGAAATATGATTCTTCAAAAACTTTTACCCTAAGATCTTAGGAGAAAAAGGGCTCTCAGAAGCAGTATAATTCATCACATACTTCACAAAAGAGCTTTACCACTCCCTAGAGAAAATCACCTCAAATTCTTTTAAAAGGTAGCCAATGAATTAGGTTTCCCCAGTCAAAAATCATCTATACGAATGCTTTACGATCTTCATTCAATTAAATGTTATTTGTAAAACCTCTCCTCCAATTATAACACCTTTCTTAAGGTTGTTATATTGTCCCTAAAGTTCAATAAAACTCTCTCACCTTGACCCTTGTCTATTTAATGCTCTCAGGGGAAAATGGAAGAGGAAAGACAGAACAGTTTGTAACAATTCTGATGCCTTGACAGTTAAAAAAAAAATCAGAGTCTTGCAATCACTAGGAAATCCAACTTAATCTAAACATTAAATCCTCAAAAAAACCATCTTAACCTGGCATTTAAAGTTTTCCAAAACTTGACCACAACCTACTTTTTTCCCATCATCCCCAGCTGGGATTTTTCATTCCAGGCAAGTTAACTCGATACCCAACAAGCCTTTCTTACTTTCCTGTAACACTGCTCATGATGAACTGTTTCTTCCAATTCAATTCTACCCATGGAAGAAAGTTTCTTTCTTCCATGAAGTCTTTTCTAGTCCAATCATTCCAGTTCAGAGGCTACTCTTCACCATCCCAGACTACAGACTGTCTATTCAAATCATATAGCATAGACATATTGCCCCATATTGCTTATCTTTCATTCTCTTGTCCCTCCGACTAAACTATAAACTTCTTTAGGCAGGGCTGTACGTTACACTTCATTATTTTCTGTTATAGAGTCTGGTATCACTCTATGTACAAAGTAGAAATCTGGTATTAATAAAGTAATAAATGAAAAAACAACCTTTTCTACATAGCACTACCCTACAGGTTGGTTTAAACATCTGAATTCTATTTCCCTAATAATATCCCCTTTCCCAAATGTTTTTTTAAAGAACTATTAACAGAAATGGGAGTGGTAAATTAAATCACAGGTTACCAGGGTACCAGATAAATTTAGAAAAGTATATAGCTTTTAGTAGTACCTGCCAAAGCTAAATATACATATATTCCATTAATACAGCAACTGCACTCCCAGGTAAACCTCTAACAAATGAATGCTTATGTCTACTAAAAGACATGAGTGAGAATGCTTACAACAGCTTTATTTTCAGTAGCTGAAAACTGAAAACACCAAATAGTCATGAATAATAGTAATAAATAAACTGTGGTATACTATTCTAGAATACTATACAGCATTGAAAAAGAACAAAGCACAGATATATACGACTACTTGGATGAATTTAACAGACATAGGTCGAATGAAAGATGTCAGACACAAGAGTACACAGCATTCGACTGTATTTATATGAAGTTCAAAAACAGGCAAAATGGGCCAGGTGCAGTGGCTCACACCTGTACTCCCAGCACTTTGGAAGGCTGAGACAGGAAGACTGCTAGAGCCCAGGAGTTTGAGACCAGCCTGGGCAACATAGTGAGATGTCATATCTACAAAGAAATCAAAAAATTAGCTGGGTGTGGTGGCATGTGCCTCTAGTCCCAGTTACTTAGGAGGCTGAGATAGAAGGGATGCCTAAACCCAGAAGGTTGAGGCTGCAGTGAACTGTGATTGTGCCACTGCACTCCAGCCTGGGTGACAGAGTGAGACCAAAAACAAAACAACACAAACAAGCAAAATGCACAAATGAAAACAGAAGTCAGAAAAGTGGTTACTCAGGGACGAGGGTATAAGTGGTGAGGATACTGATAGGGAGGGAGCATTGCAGGGTGCTAAAAATGTTCTAGATCCTAACCTAGATGATGACCATGGGTGTATACATATGCAAAAATGTACTGGAATTTATGTACTTTAAAATTATTTATGAAAATTACTCCTGGAGGAAGTGGCAAGATGGCGACGGGGCAAAGCGGTCTGTGAAGCCCTCTGCAAAGGAGATCTGCAGTGGGTCTCTGACTCTCGCCCCTGGGGTGCTACGGACCCCAGCAAAGCAAGCCTGCTCTTCATACAGAGCTCAGCCGTTGCCACCGCTGCGGCATCGCGACGGACTGGACAATCACTGCGGCACAAACGGTGCTGCCGCTGCTGTCGCAGCCACCCCCCCACACACTGCTGTCGCCGCCACGGCCAGCGTGATGGCAGTAGCACATCATACCACCCAGGCCGGAGGCGACCCACTTCAAGCCACTTCAGGGAAGATCTGCTGGGATCGCTGCCACCTCTCCTGTGACTGAGAAATCCTGGCCGCCCGCCCTGTGTCTCCTGTTGTCTGCCCTGAGGCAGGCAGCCATCTTGTTCCTGTCCAGCCCCACACCCTGTGGGGCGAGCAGCTGAGATAGCACCACCTGCTGGCGATCCAAGGGAGTAAAACTACAACACCACTGCAAGAACAGATTCCAGGGCAGTGGGAACTGGGCTCCACATTATCCACACACCTGTCAGTGAAAACCAGGACCTGCAGATAGACTTTGAATCACAGCTCCCCCCTTAAGTAAATCTCAAAACTGCACAAAGGATCACCTCCAACCTTCAGTGCAACTCCAGAATTGAACAAAGTAAGAGGGCATACATAAAGAATAGGAAATTGAACAAACAGAAGTAAAACCAATCCCTTTACCCCTGAATAACAGAATTAAAGAAGACGGTGACGTGGAGGAAAAGAAAAAGTAGGGAGGAGGAAAAACCGCACAAATGAAGAAAAACCAAAAGAAGAATATAGGTCTCACACAGACCCCTGGGAAATCAGACACTGAGAAAACAGATTCACAACAATGAACACAAACAATGAAGAGCCCTCAGAATGACTGGTTTCATGCAACAAACCCAGACATCAAGAAATTAATGGAGAGAATTTAAAAAATTGAGGAGAGACATGAGGAAAATAGGAAGGAGCTGATGTCAGAAAGGGCAGCAGTAAAGAATACTGTGATGGAAATGAACAACAGACTAATTAGCATGGAAAGCAGGATCAGCCAAGCAGAAGAAAGAATCTCAGAGCTCAAAGACCAAAACACAGAACTAACCCAAACTGTCAAAAGCATAGAAAAGAAGCTCAAAAAGACAGAACAAAACCTGCAAGAGATGAATGATCACTTCAAGAGACCAAACCTAAGAGTAATTGGGCTTCCTGAGGCAGAGAGAGAAACAGAAGCCACACTGGAACAAACATTTCATGAAATCATTCAAGAAAACTTCCCTCATCTCATTAAGGATGAAAAAATCCAAACACAAGAGATTCAGAGAACCCCTGCAAGACAACAAATGAGAAGACCAACTCCCAGACACATAATAATTCGCCTAAACAAAGTAGCTATAAAAGGAAAAATCCTAAAGGCAGCAAGAGAAAAAGGCCAGACTACCTACAAGGGAAAACCAATTAGAATAGCAGCAGATTTATCCACAGAAACCCTGCAGGCCAGGAGAGCCTGGAGCCCTATCTTCAAAGTTCTAAAAGAGAAACAATTTCAACCAAGAATAACCTACCCAGCCAAACTAAGCTTCATTAGTGAGGGAGAATTGAAATCTTTTCCAGATATCCAATCCCTAAGAACCTACACTGCCACCAGACCACCTCTACAAGAAACACTTAAGAAAATACTGAACACAGAAGAAAAAGAAAAAAGGAACAACAGGATTCTTCACAAGAGTACAGGCAAAAGATTAAAAACACACATGAACCAACTCCAAAACCCAAAGAAAGACAACAAACAAACAGGAACAACTCTGTAAGAACCTTATGACAGGGATCAACTCTTGCATTTCAATCATTAGCCTAAATGTAAACGGACTAAATGCACCAGTGAAAAGACATAGAATTGCAAAATGGATAAAATATCATCAGGCAACAATCTATTGCCTTCACGAGACTCACCTCACTAGAAAGGACACCCACAGACTCAAAGTAAGAGGATGAGAAACTTTCAGGCGAACGGAATACAAAAGAAAGCAGGAGTAGCGATCTTAATTTCAGATAAAATACCCTTCAAGCTATTAAAAATCAAAAAAGATACAGAAGGCCACTACATAATGATAAAAGGCTCAATCCATCAACAAGAAATATCTATTCTAAACATATATGCACCGAACATAGGTGCACCAACTTTCATAAAGCAACTTCTTGGAAAACTAAAGAAAGATATTGACTCTAACACTATCATAACTGGGGACTTTAATACCCCACTCACAACCCTAGACAGATCATCAGGACAAAAAATCAGCAAGGAGATCTGGAACCTCAATGTGACTTTGGACCAAATGGACTTAATTGATACCTACAGAACACTCCATCCAAAGATCACAGAATACACATTCTACTCATCACCACATGGAACATATTCTAAGATCAGCCACATACTCGGCCATAAATCAAGCATAAGCAAATTTAAAAGGACCGAAATTCTACCAAGCACCTTCTCGGACCACAGTGGAATAAAAATAAACATTAACACCAACAAAGTCCCCCCAAAACCCACAAAGACATGGACACTAAACAGCATGATGCTAAACAACTCCTGGGTCAACGACGAAATCAAAACAGGGATCAAAAGATACCTGGAAACAAATGAAAATGCAGAAACATCTTACCAAAATCTCTGGGATGCCCTGAAAGCTGTAGTAAGAGGGGAATTTATATCCCTACAAACACACATGAAGAAAATGGAAGGAACAGAAATTCACAACCTAACAAGCCACCTAAAGAAGCTGGAAAAGCAAGACCACAAAAAACCCTAATTTCAGCAGAAGAATCCAGATCACCAAAATAAAAGCCCAAATCCAGGACATAGAAGACAAAAAGATAATAGAAAAAAATCAATGAAACAAAAAGCTGGTTCTTCAAAAGGATAAACAAGATCGATGGTCCCCTAGCTAGACTGACCAAGAAAAAACGAGAAAAAAACCAAATAAGCA